CCCATCCCGTCCAACACTCTGTCAGACAGTGGCCAAAACCCTGGTGACGTCCGGAGGAGGTCCACCAGTGGGGCCAGAACTCCAGTAGCCCTCCCACTGTTGCCCCCCCCAAGCACCAGGAAGACAGGACATCACTGCCCCAAACACAGTGTTTCCTCTATACCTTGTGGCTAAGAACCACTCACTCATGGACCTCTGCTGCCAGGGCTCTTTTTGTAGAAAAAGTCCAGCAGGAACTCATTAGCATAATAGACCACACCCAACAGCGGAAACTCATAAGCATATTAGGCCACACCCCTGACAACACAGCTCATTAGCATATTAGGCCACACCCCATGTTACCAGAAGTGTAGTCATCCAGCCACCCCCACCTTTTGCTTCTTATTCTGTTTACCCTGTTTGTTCCCATCTTCCTTTTCCGTGTTGCCATTCTAAGGCTATCTTGTGCTTTTCTTGTAGCAGGAACTCCTTTGCATGTTAGGCCACACACCCCTAACGTAGCCAATCCTAATGAGTTTCCGCTGTTGGGTGTGGCCTATTATGCTAATGAGTTCCTGCTGGGCTTGGCCAACTCGGGAGCCAGCCGGAACTCCGTTCCTGTGCGTTCCTGCCCAAAAATAGCCCTGCGTCTGCTCCATCTGTTTATCCAATCCCCTCTTGAAGCTGTCTAAGCTTGTAGCTGCCACATCCTGCGGCCTACCTCCAAGGGTTATTGTGAAGATAAATGAGTAAGGAAGAGCCATGTATGCCACTCTGAACACCTTGGAGGAAGAAGGGTGGGCAGAGGCAGTCTTAACCCATGGACCACCAAGGCAGCTGCCCGGGTCCCATGGAGGAACAGCCCCACCCCTCAATGGAGGGACGGGAAAAAAACCCCGTTATCTCTACATATGCTGATCACATTTGGGGATCAGGCAGGTTGGTGGGGGGGGGGCTAGTGGCTCCTACCCACATTTCATGGAGGGCTGCTCCTTGCTTGAACCAAGGGTGTCCCCCGAAGGGGGCCTCATCTTGGACTTAATCCCAAGACCCCTAGAATCACTAAGACTGCCCCCTAAGGGTGGGATAAAAATGCACTGAATTGTAGGGTTATCACATGAATGCATGTGAAACTGTCTGATCCCAAACCAGACCCATCTGTGTGGTCTGGTTTCTTCTGATTGGCTCTCCAGAGCCTCAATGAGAGAAAGGTAATTCCCAACCCTAGACACCATTGAATGGGAGACGCTAGGGATTGAAACTGAAACCTTCTGCATACAAAGCAGAGACCCCGAGTCATGGTTCTTCCTCAGTATTTTTAATATGGTCCTGTGGTGAAACAACGCCACTGACCTCCAAAGCAACTACACACCAGTGGCTGTCGAAGGTGCTAACTCAGCATCATGCTCAATCTTGGGTTGTTGTTTTTTTGGTATCACTGCCACCAAATGGCCATTTTAGGAACTACCCACGGAGAGAATCAATGCTTCCCATCTTCCTTTTCCGTGTTGCCATTCTAAGGCTATCTTGTGCTATCTAGCAACTGGTTACTACAGTAGAAGAGTAAGACTCCAGTAGCACCTTAAAGACTAACAAAATTTGTGGTAGGGTAGGAGCTTTCGTGAGTCACTGCTCACTTCTTCAGATAACAAGTACCTGAAGAAGTGAGCAGTAGCTCACAAAAGCTCCTACCCTGCCACAAATTTTGTGTTAGCCTCTAAGGTGCTGCTGGACTCTTACTCTTTTTTACATCTACCTCACAGACTATCACAGCTACCCATTTTGATCTGGTTACCACAGGGACGGCATACTACATTTGCACACTCCCAGGAAACTAGCAATTTAGCAACTGACCTCTTCCCTTCCCTGCCACCCATTCTGAATAGCATATCTGAACGGTGGAGATCTATGAGGTATGAAGAACGGCTGCCAGCACGCAAAATAGTTAAGAATTTATTAAAAGTAAAATGTCCATATGCATCCTCTCAGCACAGCAATGGATTCAGCAAGGAATACAAAAAGTGTTAAACACACAGTTCCTCGGCCCCTCACTCTGTGCACGCCCTAGCTGATCGTAGTCTAAGGCATGCTCTTTAAGGCAGCCTGCCCTTTGTCTGCTCCACAGGAGAACGGTGGCCACCTGCTGGAGCTCAGGTGTGAGAGCTCCTTCCCCAAAACTGACTTTGTAGAAAGCACCCCTTTCCCTCTGTGCCAAGGGATTTTATTATTTCCATTTACCTACCCCCTTGTGGGTCAAAGAATCCTTTCCTGAAGCTTCCACAAAGCGACAAGCTAGCCCAGGGATCACCAGCCTTGTTGACACTGGGGGCACCTTTGGAATCCTGACACAGCCACAAAATGGATGCCACATGAGGTGGAACCACTCACAAAATGGCTGCCACAGCTTACCTTCAGTGAAGATCCTTGAGCTGTTGTGGGAGCTACTGCCAAAAAAATGTTTAAAAAAAAAATCTGCACAGCCAATTAGAAGCCTTGAAAGAGAAAAGCCCCACCCAGTATCATGGTGCCCATGGTTACCACACTTGGAACTCCAGCCTAGCCCCTCACACCCCCTGGTCTCTGGCTATTTCATTGACTCCAGCCAGGAATGAATTTCTAAAGTGTTGATGGTTGGTCCTTGGGTGAGGCTTGGGAGTAACTGACTTCCCGCTTCCTCCGTCTTCAGCTAGGAGTGAGAGGAAAAGCTTTTAAAACTCCATGTGGAGGTTTCATGGAGCCCAAACCTCCGAATAAAATGCATTTCTTCACTGGCCCCATCAGGATCCATGGTGCCTTACATAGCTTCAAAGGCAAAAAGAGATAAAAATCCCTGCCCCAAGGAGTTTACATTTACATATAAGAAGGAATCCTGTGCAATCCTGTGCACACCGCAATTTATCTCCAAAATAAACGTGCATCAGACTGAGCTGCAAGTCAAGAAACCGTTTCAACAGCGACAGCAAACCTTTGCATTTATTACAGTACTTGATTGGGTGCTCAAAGCACTTCCCTGCACTCCCTTGCTGTCATCCTTACAACAACCCTGTAAGGTAGGTCAGTGTTGTTTACACCTCACAGGCTGAAGGAGAATGGCTTGCCTCAAGCCACTTCCGAGTAAATGGCAGATGCAGAATCTGAACACAGAGCTTGCAGATTCATAGTACAGTGTCTTTGCTACTTTCCCAAACACGATTTGGAGAGAAAGAGATATGTAAGTACCAGAGACAGGGCTTTTTTCCTGGTGGAATGTGCCGGAACGGAGTTCCGGAACCTCTTCGACAAAATTATTTTTGAAATGTTTAAAAGTTATACAGATTGAAAACTTCATCTCCCTCTTGAGAGTTCCGGCACCTCTTTTGCCAACCCCCCGACCAGAGGTATTAAACAGGGAACTCTGATAGCAGACCCAAAGCACCTTCCTTCACGCACGCATGAACAGGGTGCCCCATAATGTTTCCATCTTTATTGGCAGGGCTATTTTTGGACAGGAACGCACAGGAATGGCGTTCCGGCTGGCTCCCAAGTTGGCCACGCCCAGCAGGAACGCATTAGCATAATAGGCCACACCCAACAGCAGAAACTCATTAGGATTGGCTACACTAGGGGTGTGTGGCCTAACATGCAAAGGAGTTCCTGCTACAAGAAAAGCCCTGGGTTTTGACAACAAACAAGGTAAACAGAATAAGGAGCAAAAGGTGGGTGTGGCTGGATGGCCACACTTCTGGTAACATGGGGTGTGGCCTAATATGCTAATGAGTTTCTGCTGTTGGGTGTGGCCTATTATGCTAATGAGTTCCTGCTGGGCTTTTTCTACCAAAAAAGCCCTGTTTATTGGTATCATAAATCTGTGCTCAAGCATTGGCTGAAATCTCGTCTTCATCTCAGGGCAGGTCTCCATCAAAAATTAAAGAGAGAGAAATCAAATATAATCTACTGCCTCCACAAAGGGCATTTGGGCAGACCAAGGAGGTTTATTTACTTCCCCAAAACCAGGCCCGGTTCTCCCCCCATCAGGAAGGTGGTGGGGTATAGCCTGATCTCATCAGATCACAGAAGCTAAGAGTGGTTGGTACTTGGATGGGAGACTGCCAAGGGAGGCTCTGCAGAGGGAAGCAATGGCAAAACCACCTCGGCTTCTCGCTTGCCTTGAAAACCCGACCGGGTTGCCATTATTCGGTTGCAACTCGGTAGCACGTACGTATGTACGTATCGCTCCCCCCCAAAAAAAAACAAACTTATTCAAAGCGACATAGAAAAAGTGTAAGAACTTCCCGCTTAATTTTTTTTTAAATGAAAACAAGCAAAAACATTTAAATCACGCTCACACAATAATATTAGTAAATTACAAAATAAGACATGGTAAAGTTACAGCGGTGAGGCACACATAAGGAGGCATCTAGGTAAAAGCTTTCCCACACAGCACTCTGGCAGAGATCCCACCGAAAGCAATGGGATTTACGCACAGGTAACTGTGTGGAAGGCTGCCGTATGCAAGGGACAGTGCTCGGAGTCTGAGAGTCCCTGCTGTCTGTGCCAGCCTCTTGACCTGGATGGCTCTCAGAAGCTAAGCAGGGTCAGCCCTGGTTAGAACCCAGATGGGAGACCACCAAGGAAGTCCAGGGTTGCTACGCAGAGGCAGGGAACGGCCAAGCACCTCTGCTCATCTCTTGCCTGGAAAACCCTACTGGGCTACCGTCAATTGGCTGTGACTTGACTGCACTTTCCACCACTACCAAGGCAGCGATGTGGAGGTTATAGATTATATTAAAGGCCCGCTCATACTCCCCTCTGCCCCAGTCACTAAAACACTGACTCCTCCCGATCCAGGAAAAGGTATGCAACCTAGCCCTTCGCCCGGGGATCCCAAAGGTCTGCTGCTGATGCTCTCAGAGTGATCTGGGCCTAGTTTGGGTTTGCAGGGGGGGGAAGTATTAACTCTTTCAGTAAAACACGCTAATAACACACCGAGGGCAGTGTCTCCTCCACCAAAAGGAGAGGGAGGTAGACAGAAGGGCTTGCTCTCAGAGTATCAAAAAGTCTCTTTCTTCCAGATGGATTTTTTCATGTCTGTTCAGTATGGCTCTTTGAGTGAAGCTTTCCCCACACTGCTGGCACCCGTATGGCTTTTCCCCTGTGTGGATTCTCTGATGCCGGATCAGTACTTCTCGCTGGTTAAAGCTTTTCCCACACTCGGGGCACTCGTATGGCTTCTCCCCCGTGTGGATCTTCTGATGCCGTACCAGCGAATCCCTCCGACAGAAGTTCTTCCCGCACTCGGGGCATTCGAAGGGTTTCTTCCCCGTATGGATCTTCTCATGCCTGATCAGGCTCTCCCTCTGGCTGAAGCATTTCCCGCACTGGGTGCACTCATGCGGCTTCTCGCCGGTGTGCGTCCCTCTGTGCCGTATAAACCCTTCTCTCAAATTGAAGCTCTCCCCGCACTCGGAGCACTGGAACAGTTTCGGCCTGACGTGGATTCTCTGGTGTTTGGCCAGGTAATTCTTTTTCTGGAAGCGTTTCCCACAGATGAGGCACTCATGAACGGACGCTCCGGCGGGGATCATCTGATTGGAGATGTGTCCCGATTTGCAGCGATACCATTTGCTGGTCTTGGAGTGCAAAAACTTATTCACCCTGGTGTGCCTCACGGCTTCCTTCATTGCCGCTGGACCCTCCACGGATTCATTCCACCCCTTCTTTCTGTCAGAGTCGCATCCTGACTCATGGATCTCAGCTACCAGAGAAGCCTTTCCTTGGGATATCTCCAGTGACATGCTGTATAGTTCCTCTGGCTCGCTGTTTTCTTGCGGGGAATACTCCTCTTTGATCTCGCTTGGATCCTCGTCACCTGAGGGGATGAAGAACAAACATATTCCAGAGGGCTCCGCTGCAGCCAAAACCAACAGAAAAGTCTTGTAGCACCTCACAGACTGACTGTGGTCAAAGTCTTTGAGTGCCAGAGATCATAATAAACTTGTTACATCTTTAATGTGGTAGGAGACTCTGGCTTGTGGTCACACACACTAAACAATCCACTTTCAGTGCACCTTCCAACTGGACTCTGCCAGTTCACACAGTAAAATCCAGTTGGAAAGTGCACTGAAAGTGGATTGAAAGTGGGTTATTTAGAAGAAGAAGAAGAGAAGAGATTGGATTTATACCCCGCCCTTCACTTCCCAAAGGTGTCTCAGAGCGGCTTACAAACTCCTTTCCCTTCCCCTCCCCACAACAGACATCCTGTGAGGTAGGTGGGGCTGAGAGCTCTTGACAGAAACTGCTCTTTTTCAAGAACAGCTGTGCCAGAGCTACGGCTTGCCCAAGGTCATCCAGCAGGTGCAAGTGGAGGATTGGGGAATCAAACCCGGTTCTCCCAGATTAGAGTCCGCGCACTTAACCACTACACCAAACTGGCTCTCAGTGTGTGATCAGTGTGAGCCGCACTCAGTGTGATTTAGTGTGTGTGATTACAGCCTAATCTATTTAATCCACGTTCATCATAGTGTCCTCCAAGCAATTCTGCACTAAAATCGAATTCAACCTTCTTTTCATTCCAGGTTTTCCCCTATTCTGCATTACATTCCCTCCCTTCAGTGGTCAGCCCGGTTTCAGCCTGCTGTTGCCCTGGGTTATTTGGATGCTGTTTTGCCATGGACTTAAATTGCCTCGACTCAAACACTGAGAAAATCCGGAGTGTCGGGCAAATGCGGAAAGGACCTAAGCGAATAGGTCGTGTGATTGGTGGATCTGCTGACTTCCATGTGATAAGTTTTTCAGCGCATGCTTTCCCACATCTGATTGTTTTAAACTGTGGTCGAAGCATCAACGGATCCCTGCTTCAGCCTCCAGTGATCCTCTCTGGGATGGAACGTGCGGGAGGGATGAGATCTATAAGGGTTTCATGTTTCCTTCAGCTCTGGAATTTCTGCTGATGTGCAGGAAGACTTATGGTGGCACAGAAAAGCTCATGAATGCAGAGAAGGATTAAAACTGACAAGAAGCACAAAAAGGAAGTGGGAACAGACTGTGACTGACAGGAGTAGGGGAGAGAATAGGCCAATACAAGCAACGGGGAAAGAAGAACAAACAGAAACGTTCTAACAACCGTATCAGAGGGAAAGCCTTAGAAAGACTGTTAATCGACTCTGAAACGAACAGAAGTCAGAGATCCAACGAGTCCGCCATGCCATTTCCAGCAGCAGCCAACCAGCTGCTTCCAGGAAGCACACAAGCAGACAGGAAGCGCTGTTCTTCAGAGGTATGCTGCCACTGAACATGGAGGTTCCATGTAGACATTATGACTGATAGGCACTGAAAGACTTCAGCCTCTGCTTTTAAGCCCGTCTACAATGAGTCCAGCATCCTCTTCCCAGAAGGCCTAACAAGCAGAGGATGAAGGCATTGTTTCAAGCCTCTTGTACACCAAACTGACTCTGCATATGGAGGTTCTATTCTTTCCTCTCCTGGCTGCAGTCCACCATGAGTTTATCTAACCCTTTCATAAGAACAGGGACTCTCAGTTTACTTCCCACAATTAGAAAAGATGCCTTTACACATTTATCCCCTATTGTGACATATTTATCGCTTTGCGGTCCTTTCCCCCCTCAATTAAATCGAAACAACTGTTGACCTTATAACCTTAGTCTGTTATTTAGTTTTGTCTTTGTATATCTTAAAACGACTTCATCATGTTACATGTTAATTTGCTGTTCAGCCTCTGTCTATGAATTTGAACTCTACCTTCCATTCCGCTGTATCTGAAAAAGTGTGCATGCACACGAAAGCTCATACCGCAGGGCCTGCAAGACGGAGCTCTTCCACCAGGCTTTCAATTAGGAGCCGCCAACATTACTAATTACTAGTTACCATCACTAGTATGTACCACTAGCAACAACTGTAAAGCCTGGTTCCTGGTGAATTATCGCCAGCCTGTGTGCATCAAAGAAGATCAGTGTTGGAATGAACATCATATGGTATGCGCTCACAGGGTGCGTTCAGACGCGCCGTTTGATCTGGTGTCGTGACAGTTCAGCAACGGATTTTATATGCACGATCACACAGTCAACATCTGCCTCCTGTCCCCAGCCGTTGGTTTCTGGCTCAAACCCCCTCTAACCCGGAGTACTTTGTTACCAGGACCCAAAGTGGTGCTTTCTCAGCTCTCCCGTTTAAAGCCGCAGTTTCCCCTGTGTGATCGCTCCTCCGGTGTCAAGCCACTTCCCATGATTTAAACCTCCTCCCTGCTCGGAAGCCCGATGCTTCTGCTTTTCGGCCGCCATTTTTTTGGGTGCGTTGGCTGTATGCGCATAAGCGGAGCTCCGCTCCCGCGTTTTTAAAACCAACATTTAAACGGTCACTAGTTTTGAGTTCGGGATCCCAAAGAGGCCAGTTTCAGCTGAAAAGTTTAAAGGGAAGTATTCTGTCAAAGCGGTGAAATCACGGTGCTCTGTGGAACTGTCAAGTAAAATCCGTGATTTGCCCTAGTGGCTCTGCGCATGCGCGAGGATAAAGTTTTTCAATTCCGCAGATGAACAGTTATGTGCATGCAGGGCTATTTTTGGGCAGGAACGCACAGGAACGGAGTTCCGGCTAGCTCCCAAGTTGGCCATGCCCAGCAGGAACTCATTAGCATAATAGGCCACACCCAACAGCAGAAATACATTAGGATTGGCTACATTAGGGGTGTGTGGCCTAACGAGTTCCTGCTACAAAACGAGTTCCTGCTACAAAAAAAGGCCCTGGGTTTTGACAACAAACAAGGTAAACAGAATAACAAGCAAAAGATGGGTGTGGCTGGATGATCACACTTCTGGTAACATGTGGGTGCGGCCTAATGTGCTAATGAGCTGTGCTGTCAGGGGTGTGGCCCAATAGGCTAATGAGTTCCTGCTGTTGGGTGTGGCCTATTATGCTAATGAGTTCCTGCTGGGCTATTTCTACAAAAAGAGCCCTGTGTGCAGTGTTCCCTCTAAGCTGAGTTAGTGTGAGCTAGCTCACAGTTTTTTAGCCTCCAGCTCACACATTTTTGTCTTAGCTCAGGAAGGATGACTCCAAAGCAAACTAATGTATGCAGCAGCCAAATTGCTCGCTCACAACTTTAATGCCAGTAGCTCACAAAGTAGGATTTTTGCTCACAAGACTCCACAGCTTAGAGGGAACATTGCCTGTGTGCATGTGCAAACTGAGAAGAAGAAAACCCAACACGCTCCCGTGTGATCGCGATTGTCGAGAGTAAAAGTAATCGCGTCAGAACCGGTCCAGTTTGAACAGCTCTCGGCACGCCGTCTGAACGCACCCATGCAGCCCTGCCATCACTATGATACTGGAACAACATTGCTAGCACTTTAATATGTAATACTGTATCGTTTTAATGAATTGTTTTCATGTTTAATGGTTCTGATTGTTTTAATCTGTAAGCCGCCCTGAGCCTGCTCCGGCAGGGTAGGGCGGGATATAAATTAGAATATAAATAAATAAATATAAATATACCTTGAATAAACCTTTGTTGGTCTTAAAGGGGCCACTGGACTCTACATTTGTTCTATAAGAATATAAGAATGGCTGTGCTGAATCAGAGCCCCAGTCCAGCATCCTCTGTCCAACAGAGGGCCCCTAGCAGTCACCAAAGAAGCCCACACACAGGATGTGGCAGCAACAGCCTCCTCCATTTTCCCTCACCTCCTGGTTCATAAAGCTATACCGCCACTGTCCTTGGAGGTTCTGTTTAACTGTCAGCTAATATGTATTTCTTTAAAATCATCACCAGTGTATGTTTACTGACCCTCTGTGTGAGAGAGGATACCAAAAGAAGCCCTCAAGATGTTTTTTCTAATTATTACTTTTCCAATTAACACATACAAAGACACCCCCCGCGGGGAATGCCACCACAGAGGGGAAAAAACAGAACTTAGAAACAGGAGCAATGGGCCACATGGAGAGCGTGGTCTCTGGGGTCGGCTGGCCCCCCCCCCCCCCGCCCATCAGGAAACTCCCTCCCCAGAGAGGCTTCCTGGAAATGCTTCTCCCTCCTCAGAGTCCTGGACAAAGACCATTTCTCCTTCTTCCATCTGTGCAATGCCGTCTGGTTTGGGAATCACAAATCCTCCTTTGGGATGGAGAGAGAAACAGGAAATCAGGAAGCAAATGGTGCTGAGGGACCACACTGCTGGCGGCAGTTGGGGCCTAGTCGCGTTGGGGGAGAGCGGAAACCCTGACTGACTCCGAACATGTAAACACAGGCTGTAAAACTTCATCGAAAGGGCATTCTTTTTCTAATGATCCAGAAGGTTAGGGACAGAACTTCTTTAAATAGCAGAAGGATGGTGTCAATATTTTCCTTTCCATCCCTTTGGAGCATATGGAATTGTCCCTGTCTGGCAAAACACGAGAGCCCCAAATGGCTCCCATAAATTAACAAGATCAAGAGTGGGTGGCTGTGTTAGTCTATCTGTAGCAGCAGAAAAGAACAAGAGTGCAGGAGCACCTTCAAGACTAACCAAATTTGCGGCAGGGGAGGAGCTTTCCTGAGCCACAGCTCACTTCTTCAGAGACCAGATTCTTCAGGTGTCTGAAGAAGTGAGCAGTGACTCATGACAGTTCCTCCCCTGCCACATATTTGGTTAGTCTTTAAGGTGCTACTGGACTCTTGCGCTTTTCTACTGTAAATGAACAAATTCAATCACCATCAGCACCGTGGAAAGGTACAGATCCTGATTGTTTCGGCTACCTGTTGTTCTTATTGATGAAAGGAAAACCAGAAAAGGGAACTATCTGCCTCCTTTGGCAGTGAGCAACAGAAAGCATGAAATTATAGCTAGGATTCCTGAGTTGGGAGGGGGTCAGACTAGATAACCCTGTTGACCCAACTCTCAGGATTAAACAAACAAATCTCTTTTGCTGACTCCCTCTGCCCTTCTCATCTAATAATAATAATAATAATAATAATAATAATAATAATAATACCTAAGAAGCTGATGTCCTCAGAGTTCTCTTGCATGACTTCCCAATGCATGGTGCCTTGACTGGAGTTCAACAGGGCCCAGTCAGCGTTATCCAAAGACACCGTCACCTCATTCAGATTTGCAGACTCCTGAAACAGGAAAGCGTCTTCCCATTAAGCCCCCACGGCTGCCTGTTTTAAAATACCACTACCCCGCCCCCCCGGTTACGTCTCCCTCAAACTGGTTTCCATCCGTCTCTCTCAGAGCCAAGCAGGCAGAGTTTTCACCACAGAGACACCAAGCAAATAGCGACGCCACTCGGCTCTCCCAGGACATCATGGCCAACGGCAGATTTCCGTTTGTCCTAGGAATTCTGACAAGCTCTCACTCTGTTCTTTACCACTAAGGTTGTCAATGCCAAGATAGAGAATTCATGGAGATTTCGGGGCAGAGCTTGAGGAGAACGGGGTATGGGAAGAGGATATATGATCGCCATGGAGTCCACCCTCCAAAGTAGCCATTTTCTCCAGGGGAACCAATCGTCGTCATCTGGAAATCAGCTGTAATTCCTGGGGATCCCCAGGCCCCACCTGGAGTCTGGCAACCCTGTTTATTGCTGTGTTTTTTAAAAGACTCTGGGAGCTACATAACCTGTCTTCGACTGGAGAGGCAATGAGGGGTAGTGATTGTCGGGGAAAAACTGGTGAGACCTGGGTTCAGATGTTTGCTGAGGCATGGAACTCACTGGGCAGACTTGGGCCTGTCAGCCCAACCTACCTCACTGACAGGATTTTTTAAGTTGGGGGGGCATTTAAATTTCTTAGGGGGCACTGGCTAATCAATACCCGGCTTGGAGATGCCCCACTGTAGCTACAGGCCTTGCTCACAGGGTTGTTGTGAGCAGGCCTTTTTTTGTAGAAAAAGCCCAGCAGGAACTCATTAGCATAATAGGCCACACCCAACAGCAGAAATCCATTCGCCTATTAGGCCACACCCCTGACAGCCCAGCTCATTGGCACGTTAGGCCACACCCCCATGTTACCAGAAGTGTGGTTATCCAGCCACACCCACCTTTTGCTTCTTATTCTGTTTACCTTGTTTGTTGTCAAAACCCAGGGCTTTTCTTGTAGCAGGAACTCCTTTGCATTTTAGGCCACACACCCCTAATGTAGCCAATCCTAATGAGTTTCTGCTGCTGGGTGTGGCCTATTATGCTAATGAGTTCCTGCTGGGCGTGGCCAACTTGGGAGCCAGCCGGAACTCCGTTCCTCTGCGTTCCTGCCCAAAAATAGCCCTGGTTGTGAGGATAAAATGAAGGAGGGGAACACCACATACAGTAGAACACCCCCCCAAGCACTGAAGGGCAGGATAACAATCCAGGGTCCAGTGGCCTCTTTAAGACCAAGCAGATGGGCAGATCAGACCTCGTCACTATCCACATACCTCACCCAGCCCACCTTCAGCCAAATCTTGGTCTTCAGGAGGCAACACCGAGCTAGGAAGACTGGTGGACGTTATTCCGCTGGCTGCGAAGGACAGAAAAGAGGAGATTTCAGGAAAAGGGGGTTTGTGGAATGGCTTCATTGCCTACGGTTTGCCACTATCTCCACCACCCCTTGTTCTACAAATGCGAAATATAGTTCTAACACTCAGAGGTCTCCATTCAATAACATTTCCTCCCTGCCAGCTGGACCCCAAGTGTATACAATGTGTGTCAAATGCGATCAAGTCGCAGTTGGCTTAAGGCGACCCTGTAGGGTTTTCAAGGCAAGAGAGGAGCAGAGGTGGTTTGCCGCTGGCTGCCTCTGCACAGCGGCCCTGGAATTCCTTGGGGGTCTCCCATCCAAGTACTAACGAGGGCTGGCCCTGCTTTGCTTCCAAGGTCGGACAAAATAGGGCAGTCCAGGTCAGGGTCATGTATACAGTGCTACCTGTTGAAAACACTGTCAATCATTCATTTATTCCTATGACTGAGGGTTTGATTGTATCATCCAAATTTAGCTGTCAGGACGGAGTTGTCCAAATCCCGCAGGGCCTGCGAGACGGAGCTCTTCCACCAGGGCTTCCGTTGAGGCAGCGGGTATCCAGTCCAATCTGGCCTCCCCCCCCCCAATGAGTCACTCTTATGTGTCTGTTGAGGTATAATTTATTTTAAAGTATTTAGTGTCGTACTTATTTTATTGCATTTATTGTGACATTGGGTGACATTGGTGGTTTTCAGTTGTTATGTGAACCTTAAGGGAGTTATGGGATAGTTGTGAATGGTGTGTGAGTGTATATGAATATTGTTGTAGATCACCGAAATGACTGCATCTTTAATTTCGTTGTACTATGTACAATGACAATAAAGTATATTATTATTATTGTATGTATTTTGTTATTCTGTTTTCACAATGTAAATCTGCACTCAGTGGATTATTATAAGTTGGAACCGGCCCTGAGTCTGCTTTGTGGGGAGGCCAGGCTAAAAATGGAAGGAAATAAATAAATAAATAAGAATGGGGGGGGGGAAGACTTTTATGTTTTATTTATCATTCAAAACATACATTGAATATATATTGTATTAGAATGACAGAACAGGACAACAGGGAGAACAGAGGCAAGAGGGTAAGCAGAGACCTCACCATGCAATCTGTTTTACTGTTTAAGAAAACATTACACGTCTAATAAAGTCTTACAGTTCTGATAAAAGTGTGGCCCTGAACTGGGTGGCCCAGGCTAGTCCAATCTTGTCAGATCTCAGAAGCTAAGCAGGGTCGGCCCTGGTTTGTATTTGGATGGGAGACCAGCAAGGACGTCCAGGGTCTCTCCACAGAGGCAGGCAATGGCAAACCACCTCTGAACATCTCTTGCCTCTAAAATCATATGGAGCTGCCACAGGCCACATGACAGCACCTCCCGCCACCAATAAAGGATGAGCATTATTGATGCAGAGTGACATTTTGGCCTGGATTCTTGGCATTCAAGGGAAGATGAAGAGATCTTGGACCTCTTCTTCCTTAGTATTTTCTCACTGGGAAAAGCCACCCCGTGACTACTTTTAACCTCACTAAGGAAATATAGGCCCCGGTCACACAGGCCGGATATCGTGGGGAGGAGACGTGGCTGTTTGCCCCGGAGCGAACTACCACACGGCCGCCGGATCAAATGTCCTGCCGACATCCCGTGGTTCGGGGGGGAGGTGCCGATCATACGTCAATCCTGCGGCGCGGCAAAGAAGCGGTGGGGGTTTTTTTAACCGAAGTGTGCACATGCACCATTGGGTGCTAGTGTGCATCCTGTGGAGACTTGGGGGAAAAAACCCTTTCCGCGATGGGACATGGGCAAGCGCCGGATGCCATGAGCTACCACCGGAAATGTGATCAGACGCCCGCCCTTGCACCACGGTTTCCGGAAACCGTGGTTTGGGGGGAGGTGCCGATCATACGACAATCCGCAAAGAAGCGGCGCGGCGCGATCACAGCATCAATGGCTAGGCGCCGCTGCCGTGGCAAACGGGATTGTGGGTTTTTTAAAACCAAAGTGTGCGCATGCGCCGTTGGGTGCTTGTGCGCATCCCGTGGAGACTTGGGGGGGGAAAAACCTTTTTGCCACGGGACATGGGCGGGCACCAGATGCCACGACCTACCACCAGAAACGCGATCAGACGCCCTCCCTTGCCCCGCGGTTTCCGGAAACTAGTACCTCGGCGGTACTAGTTTTTTATGGCGCATCTTCGGCGGGAAGCCTCGGGTTAGTCATGGGAGCTCTACGCTTCCCAGATGTTGTGGTTTGATCGCGCCCGGAAAATCTTCCGTCTCTGTAGCGTGGCTAATGCTCCGTGTGACCGCAGCCATATATAGGCAAGTTGTGTTTTCCCTAGCAGCAGCAAAGACACGGTAGGGAGGAAAGGGTCGAAGTCCCCACACTGTTCACCTCCTTGACAAAGCAATCCCAGCAGCTCAATTTGCAGAAGAGGACAATGTCTTACAAGGAGGAAATCCTAATAAGTAGTCGAGGGAGGGGCTGTGGCTCAGTAGCAGAGTATCTGCTTGGAATGCAGAAGGCTCCAGGTTCGATCCTCAGCACCTCGAATTAAAAAGAACCAGGTCGTAGGGGATGGGAAAGACCTCAGCCTGAGACCCTGGAGAGCCACTGCCAGTCGGAGTAGACAATACTGACTCCGGCGGACCAGAGGCTGATTAAGTATAAGGCAGCTTCATTGTGGTCTAAGAGGCACTGCCGAATTTTACAGAAAAGCAAGATGACTTGCTATCAGAGCAGCTGGTAGCCCGCAACTAAGCATCTCCTAAATCTTGCTCGAAACTAAGAATTGTGTGTGCGTGTGAAGTGCTGTTGTTAAGTCCCTTCTGACTTATGGTGACCCTGCTAGTCTGATCTGGTCATATCTCGGAAGCTAAGTAGGGTCGGCCCTGATCAGTATTTGAATGGGGGGAGGAGGAGGAGGAGGGGAGAAAGAGGAGGAAGAGAAGGAGATTGGATTTATACCCTGCCCTTCACTACCCAAAGGAGTCTGAGTGGCTTACAATCTCCTTTCCCTTCCTCTCCCCACCACAGACACCCTGTGAGGTCGGTGGGGCTGAGAGAGCTCTTTCGAGAACTGCTCTTGACAGAACAGCTCTGAGAGAACTGGGACTGACCCAAGGTCACCCAGCTGGCTGCATGTGGAGGAGTGGGGAATCAAACCCGGTTCTCCCAGGTTAGAGTCCGCACTCTTAACCACTGCTCCAAACTGGCTCACAATACCAGGGTCATGACGCAGAGGCAGGCAATGGCAAACCACCTCTGAATGTCTTTCGCCTTGAAAGCCCCACAAGGTTGCCATAAGTCACCTCTGACTTGACTGCAAAAAAAAAAAATTAATGACCTCTAAAACATCATATCATGAACACTTTAACTACTAAGAAGGATTATTTTCAAACTTCCAGCCAGCAAGAGAGTATTTCCTGCAGCTACTAGCTGCCAAAATGCCTGTGAATGTCACAGAGGATTCGGGGAAAGGGCCACCACAAAATTCTTCTGAAGGCAAGACTGTGCTCGGAGCACACTCACCATGCCCTAGCTGTGCACTAGATGACGTACCAGAAAAGGTACCGGCGGGCACCAAGTACTAAATAAGAAGGAAGGACCCCAGGATCCTCCCAAACAGTTTTTTGGGGAGAAATTACCGTATTAACTCAATAAACACTGACCCAGCAAACAGAGATCCTCATCTGCTTTCTCCTTGGCCTCCAGGTAGCTTTCTCTCTGAAGAACTCTCTCAGCTTCTGGCCTCACAGCTGCCTCCTCCAACGGAACCTGGAAGAGCGACAATGATGTGATTCGGTAGAAAGAGGGAAGGGCTTGGCCTCACAACTAGGGATGGAGGCCCCTATTGTGTCCCTCTAGATTATTTGGCCAAATCGGGGTGCGAAGGAGTGACGAATTAAAGATGGTGGAAGTGAGAGAAACCCAGATTTGCGCTGGATGAGGGGACCCTACTGAACAACTCTTGCTGAGGGCTCTTAAAAAAGGAAAAATCAGGAGACTTCCTCTTTCGGTAACCACAGGGTGGTTGTCGTGAGGATGAATGGAAGAATCTTGTCGGTAGTTCAGTCCTTGGAAGAAGGTAAAGGTAAAGGTTCCCTTGCTCGAAAGCCAGTCGAATCCGACTCTAGGGTTCATCTCCGTTTCAAAGCCGAAGAGCCAGCGCTGTCCGAAGACGTTTCCGTGGTCATGTGGCCGGCATGACTAAACATCAAGGCGCACGGAACGCTGTCACCTTCCCACCGGAGTGGTACCTATTTCTCTACTTGCAATGTCTTGCTTTCGAACTGCTAGGTTGGCAGGAGCTGGAACTAGAGACGGGCGCTCACTCTGTCATGAGGCAACCCGGGTCTTGAACTGCTGAACTACTGACCTTCCACAGCCTGCAGTTCAGCGTCTTAACCACTTGACCCACCACAGGACACAAATCTGGCAGACATAACAGGAAGAGGTCGGAAAAAGTACCACAAAGCTGATGCCTTTCTTCTCTATCCCATCTACTTGCTCATGCAATAATTCCCCCCACTGGAGCTAACCACAGTGTAGCCTTACATCTACACAGACTGGATTACTAACTGTGGTTCACTCAAACCAGAGTTCATTCAAACCAGAGTTCGCTCAAACCAGAACGGATGACTAACCACGGCTCACGCAAACCAGAATGTGCTGACTAACCTCTCTCGGAGGTCAGTGTTATTTACCACATTTACAACTTGCCATTCTCGTTTAGACTCCAGGCAGATGCAGACATAAGGTCTGCCACTCTGCCTCACAAATAGCTCCCCCAAAAGGGGAGAATATGCACAGGAGATATGGAAGGAAGATGGGACAGATGGATGCATACTGAGGAGACGGGGAACACCACACAGGCATACGACCAGCAGGGGCAGGCTGGGAGACCTGTCAACGTAATAAATTGAAGAAAGGGAGATGTGGGACAGATGGTGATCTAAGAGAGTTATTAGGGTAGGAAAGAGTTCCGGGTCATTCTTGATTAAATGGTGAGTCTATGGCAAAATCTGGGCCTACTGATTCAGCCTCAAAATATTCACATCACACACCACGATAGCGATAGGTTTCAAACCTTACCTGCCATTCCCAGGCCTTGGCCTCTTGAGGACTCCTCAGGAACTCCTCCGCCACTGTTGGGGTACCAGTCTCTAAGTCTCGTGCTCTGACCCTGCTTTGGACTTCCTGGGGCAAAATGGCCAGGAACTGCTCCAGGATCAACAGCTCCAGAATCTGCTCCTTCGAGTGCCTCTCCGGCTTCAGCCACCGGTGGCAAAGCTCCCGCAACTGGCTGTAGATCCTGCGCGGGTCTTCCACCTCCCGGTATCGGAAATGCCGGAAATGCCGGCGCAGAGTTTCCATGCGGTTGGCTTCTCCACGCAAGATGGCTGCCTTCACCTTCCCATAATCCTCCCTGTCTCTGGCCTCCAGGCTGCTAAAGGCTTTCTGGGCTTCTCCCCTCAGTGCTGGCAGGAGCCGGGCCACCCACACTTCCCTGGGCCACTGACAGGCCTCGGCCACTTGCTCAAAGGAGGCCAGGAAGGCCTTGGCGTCCTCCCAAGGCCCAAGTTTTATCAGCTGTGGGTTTCCCCATCCTAAACAATGGGAATCCAGAGTTTTTAGGAACTCTTGACATTGGGCTGCCCGTTGCTGTGGCAATCCATCATTCGGCTGCTGTTCACCTTTTTGAGAGGCCGCTTGTCCTGGGAGTTCCTTCAAGCACGTCTCCTGGACAATATGAGGAATATCCCCTATGGTTTCGACTCTCTCATCCTCCATTTTCAATCCTGGCTCCTTCCCTTCCAGTTGACAATGGGTCAACCTGCCAGCTTGTCGTCGGAACCCTTGCTAGGCCTCAGTCTGTGGCTACCAAGAGGCAATTTCAACAAGCCGCTCCTACAGCATCTTGTTGGGACGTGTGTCTTGACAGGTCCTTCACAGAGGGCATCGCCTGCCGGTATTTTCAAACAGCAGGCTGGATTTCTTCCTGCCAGAAAGAGAAAGACACAGAATGTGAAAGGGTTGTTCCCCCCAAAAATATATTTTATTATTTTAATACAACAAAATACAACAAAGTAATATAAAAATATCAAAACATTAAACATTAAAACAATATTCCAGAACGTTAACCATCAAAAAATTTAAAAAGGTGTAGTTTTCTTTATAACAAATGATTTCTTAAACAATTTGAAGTTCATCTATAAACATTTGGAATTTCTCCTTGTTGCTGCAAGTAATCCAAAATAGGAAATCAAATTGTATATACCAATTTGCTCGTTTTTATACCATTACATTTTACAGACCATGTAATTTTCTCCATTAAGTATAAATACCACAGTTTATTATGCCATATATCTAACGATGGTGATCTTTCAGATTTCCAAAATGTAGCAACCACAGCGTTTGCTGCATACAAAAGTAAAGCTATACGTCATTTAGCAATATCATTTCAGGCGTGAAGGGAATGCTTACCCCTGTAATATTTTTAACTTGATCTAAAACTTCCCCCCCCCCAAATTAAAACTTTGGGGCAAAACATCCAGCAATATAGGTAAGTTCCTTTTCCCTTACATTGTCTCCAGCAGGTGGGGTTAGAACCTAATATGGGCTATTTGCTCTGGGGTAATATACCAAAGGGACACAATATTGAATGTCTGTAAAGGAATAGAAATTATGGAGGAAGTATATTCTACTGAGTTCCATGAGAAAGGGTTGTTGTTGTTGTTGTTGTTGTTTAAAGGCCTCATCCTTGAGCAGACATAAAAAGCTGACAGGAAAAATTAGCTTCTTTTTTAAAAAAAACATGGTGAAGGCTGATGTACTCCAAATCTATCCATCTATCCATCCATCCATCCATCTATCCATCCATCTATCCATCTATCCACCCACCCATCCTCCCATCCACCCACCCATCCTCCCATCCATCCACCCACCCATCCTCCCATCCACCCCCCCATCCTCCCATCCATCCATCCATCCATCCATCCATCCATCCATCCATCCACCCACCCACCCATCCATCCATCCATCCACCCACCCATCCACCCACCCATCCATCCACCCACCCACCCATCCATCCATCCACCCACCCATCCATCCATCCATCCATCCATCCATCCATCCATCCATCCATCCATCCATCCATCAAAACAGGCTCAAGCTCCACAAGGAACTGGGGTGGGGGGGACAATGTGGAAATTCCTGCACACACCCAAACCTCCTGAATTCTCTAAGATCTCACAAGCCAATTTTCACATCCTCTGTTGTATTGCTTCTCCATTCACTAACTCTCATAGAGGCCGAGGCCTTCCTCTGATGTTGCCTTCTAGCACTGGGATTCAGAGGATGACTGCCTCTGAACATGGAGGTTCCCTTTAGCCACCATGGCTAGTAGACACTGATGGACTTTTCCTCTATCGATTTGTCTAATCCCCTCTTAAAGCCATCTGTGCCAGTGGCCATCACTACCTTCTCTGGCAGCAAATCCCACATTTTAGTTACTCATTGTGTAAATAAGTCTTTTCTTTTTTCTGCCCCGAATCTATAGCCAGGGGGGATCCTCTTTGTCCACTCTATCTTGTGCATAATTCTATAGACCTCTATCATGTCCCTCCTTAGTCATCTCTTTGCCAAACTGAAAAGTCCCAGACGCTTCAGACTCTGTGTGAGGAATTTTCAAGGAATTTTGTTCTGCCTATCATGTGCCTAAGGGTAGGCAGTAACTTGAGGCATCGAATTGGCAGGGATGCCACATGGAAGGAGGCAACGTGTGCAGTGTGGGTCTGTGGTTGCCTCATAGGCCGTCCAACTCCCAACCGGCCGCAGAGACATCGCACAACTATTTAGAGGTGTGGAGCTGCATGAGTGGGGAGCTCGTGCCATTGCTGCCCAGAGTCGCGGACAAGTCTTTCCCACCACGAAGGGCAGAGGACTCCCCGTATTTGCTTCAGGAACCAAAATGAACAGAGCCAGCCCTGGCCAAGGACGAAATGGGCTTTAAAATTTCTTACCAGCATACAGGGAGAGGCAGTGCTGTGCATTAGTTAGCACATAGGTTCCCCAACATGGCGCTCAACGATACTTCCTTTGGCACCAACCAAGCTTTTCAGGAAGCGAGCGGGAACATTGTAAAGCATGGCTTGTTATTGGCCGCCCTCATTCAAATGAAATGGTTTTCCACGGGAAAATGAGGAGGACTTTTAAGCAACTGGGCTTTCCTCAGTGCACGGTTCCATTCCTCCTTCAGGATTTCCTGCTTCCCAGGAGACATGAGGAAGGAGGCATTTCATCCGGCTCTGCCTCCAGAGGCAGCCATTTTGGATTTGGCTCTGCCACCTGTGGTGGCCATTTTGGAATGATGGTCACTACCCCTCTCAAAATTCCAGCCTCAGAAAGTTTGGAGTCCCCTGGGTTACAGTGTTAGGGCTGGGGAGATCTAGGTTCAGCCCCCCCCTTCCTGCCATGAGGCTCACTGCGTGGCTTTGGACCAACCACGCAGGATTTTTGTGAGGATAAACTCAAGGGGGTGGACAATGCACACTGCCCTGATCTCATTGGAGGAGGAGGATAGAATACATGTAATGTATAGCAGCACCGAAGGAAATTCTTCCCCCTCTTATAATACATAGATCTTGGTGCCCTCCACAGAAGCAAACTGACATACATTCAAGGGAGACCAAATAAAAATACTTCTTCAGGCATAGCTAACTTACGGAACTTGCTGCTACAAGATG